GGTGACACTTCCCAGTCCTCGGAGAAGGACAGTAAGTTGTATGACAGTAGAGAGTCTATGAATGTTGGCTACATAAATAGCAGGGAAGTCGCTGGATAAGTTAAAGGGGTAAATGCTGGCCACGTCTGCCCTTTTCCTGTTTAACCAGTGGTAACCACAGCCATCACTGAACCCTGTTTGTCCTGGTCTTTTCATCACCACCAACCCCCTAAGATGTTCTTAGATAAATACTTAATGATTTTAAAAATAAAGAGGTGGAGAGGAGGTAAAGGAAAAAAAGATTATAAGAAAAAATTTTAGTTTCCTTCTTAAAATATACATAGGGAAAATGTGGAAATGGAAGGAAATAAATTTTATAAAACAACATATTCAATTGGTATTGAAAATGTAATTTAAAAATATTCTGATGACTATCTATTGATAACATACTGTCAAACGTACACTGCTTTGTCATTCATAAACAATCTCACATGAGCCTCACAGTTACTACATGAGGGTTAATCTCATTTTACAGAGTATAAGCTGAAACACAGAGAGGGTAAGTGATTTGCTCAAGATCAAAAAGTCGACAAGTGCTGGGGCCTGGGTTCAACTCTATGTCCCTGACTTAGATTCTAGTGTCCTCTTTACTACATCACAGCAATGATATCTCAGTTAAAGAAATTCCATTTAGTGGTTAAACTGGGAAAATCAAAACTTGTCAGAAAAAATCCCAGGACTTGAATTCAGTTAGAATCAGGAAGCAAAATGATGTTCCAAACTTCTTACAATTTAAAATTATCTTATCAGCTCCTGGTAGACTCAAGGGCAAGCATTCCATCTTGGCCATCTTTGTCTTTACCATAGAGAATACTTCACACAGCACTTTACATGTAGTAGGTCCACCAAAAGTATTTACAAAAGTGAATTAGTTGGCATAAGTGTTAGTTGGGCACGTTAACACATCCCTTTTGTGTTGTACTAGGACACTGTCAAACAAGCCTGCCTGAGAGTCACCTGACTCCCTGCAGAACTGAAATATTCCTTAGTATTTACTACGGGCCAGAGCCCAAACTCTATAAAACTAGTTGTCAACTAACAGAAAAATAAATGCAAAAGATTTAAGTCTGGTCAAAATATAAATGAACTTTGTCCAAGAGAGAAGATAACCTCAAAAGTATGTTTTTATCTATCTTAAGACATTAGCCATATTTTAACTTAATTTACCCATCTTATTCATCATTCTTTTTGTTTTCACTGATTATTAAGTACATATTTTTCAATTTCATGTAACCTCCTTTGATTAACCTCCCTCATTAATTATTTAAACACATGTCCACTGTCTATTGGAATGAGAACTCAGTTCTTAACATTTTAAAGTTACATGTTCACATTTTTAAGTGAAAGAGTTTATTGTCTTGTTTGATGCTTTGGGTTTTTTTAATCCTCTTTGTGGTATGTGCACTTTAGTACACTTGTCTTTTGTTAAAAGATTTTGTTTCTCTTATGATGACCTTACACAACAGCAGAAAATGAAGATGAGTCATCTCACAAAAATGATGGGAAAACTGAGGAAGAAGCACGACCAAAAAGGCACCAGAAAACACGGCTGAGACAGGACACTGCAGGAAGCGCAGCACAGCTGCCAGGGCAGGCTCCTCAACGCACCCTGTTGGCATTACTGCTACCACTTCGTGGACTATCACTGCCAGTGGACACTGCCACCGTGTCCACCAGCAGCGTGCTGGAACATGGCCACGTGCCACAGCATATAAATCCCAAATTCCCCCAATTTCTATGTATCATTCTTTCTAGTCTTCTAGGTAGAGCCTCCACTTGGACAAGCCAAAGTAGTTGTGAAGAGTAATACATCTACTTAAAATTTAAAGAATATTTTGGACAATATTTTAATTCCAGATAGTCAATACTTAGAGATCAGTTCATTACAAGTTTTCTAAATTATTTTCTAGATTTGTACAGGGTTTCATGTGAATAGAGCAGAATCAGACCTTGAATACCTACCTGTAGAAGACTCTTACCTGGTCCAAGCCCATCGTGGCCTATGACAATCTTGTACAAATTCCCCAGGTGCACAGCTTCTAGGGAGAAGGTGTCGATCTGTAGCAAATCAGAAAACTGTAGTTAGATCTAGAGTATGAGTCTGATTTACAATAAGAGTATAAATTAAGACACAGCAAAAATTGATTGTGAAAGGAATTAGGTTCATTCAGTAAATACAGACAGAAAGTCATTAATGGTCATTATTAAGGGCTGGGGGAAGGGGGAATGAGAAACTATTGTTAATTAGTATAAAGTTTCAGTTTTGCAAGGTGAAAAATTTCTAGAAATCCATTGTACAACAATGTGAATAACTTAACACTATGAAACTGTGCACTTAAAAATAGAGTTGACCCTTGAACAACATGGGTTTGGGCTGCGTGGGTGCACTCAGATGTAGATTTTTTTCCGTAGTAAACACTACAGTACTACACAACCCACAGCTGGTTAAACCTTCGGATGGGGAACCACGGATGTGGAGCGCCGACTATGAGTTACACACACAGATTTTGACTGTGCAGAGGGTCAGCATTCTAACCCCTGGGTTGTTCAATGATCAGCTGTAGTTAAGATGGCAAATTTCACTTTTTTACCACAATTTGTTTAAAATTCAAAGAATTTTCTGGCCACTTACTTGTCCTCTTAAAAAATTGAAGGAGCTCTTCGATCGAAAGAGTTGTCTGGATCCTGTATCCCCCTTTTCCCCCCAGACAGAAATGTAGACATTTGCTGCTGTTCCAGCATTCCAAAGCGCCCCTGTTGCCACACGCACTTCATACACTGTCACTGATGACAAAAGAAAAATAAGCTTTAAATTTTTTAATGGAGGTATTGGGGATTGAACCCAGGACCTTGTGCATGCTAAGCATGCACTCTACCACTGAGTTGTTTCCCTCCCCACCAAGAAAAATAAGCTTCATTTATCAAGCATTGCTCACATGATAGAAAAATTACATACAGCTCATCACGAGCTCCAGGTCTAGGAAAGACGGAGCAGCGGGCTGCACCCAGCCCCCCTCACTGGACATGGCTGTAAAGTCTGGACAGAATGCATGAGCAGCCACACGAAGACTCTGGAAAGTCAACAGTAGCGGGAGAGTTGGGGAATAAGACCAAAACTTAAAAGTACCGACACGTGGCAGTGAGTTTACCATTTTCATCCCCTGGAATCTCCTCGTGGACTCGGAGCATCCAGAACCTGCAGGCAGGCGCAGCGGCCCAGACACGCGGAGCGCGGGCGAAGCGCTCCGCCCCGCTCGCGGGGCAGGAAAGGGGGCCGCTAACACAGAGGAGGAGCCGGTGTCCCAGGTCGGTGCCCCCCTTTGACTTCCCCGTTCCCTCACACCCCAGTCCCTGGGCATAAGAGCAGGCAGGAGCCCGCGCTCCGAGGGAGAAGAGTTCCGCCCCTGTCGGGAGAAGCCGGGCGCCAGCAGGTGGCAGGAAGGCCCGGCGGGCAAGGGGCGCGCGGCGAGGGCGGGTCCGCCGGAGGGAACGGCGGCGAGAACGGCGCTCGCACCGGCCTTCGCCCGCCCGCAAACGGCACTGTTCGTATCTTTTCAAAATTATTTTCGCTTCAGAGACTCAACAAAGAGTCTGTTACACCTTATTTAAAAACCACAAAGGAATCAGCCACCTCTGCAAACGTTTCAGCGACTCACGTTCCCTGGGAAGTTACGCAAGTTGTCAGACGGAAACCTCCCACTCGATCCCACGCCAGTGCGGACATGTGCATCGTCACATACTTACTACCACGTGTTTCTTTAGAAAACTGCGGTATCACATTTTTAATAGAAAGTATTCTTGTTGGAGAAAACTCCATCTTTATCAGTCGCCCATTTAATAGTTTCCATGAACCCTTTTCCTAGTCTCTTCCAAAGCATAAGTCAGCAGGCACAGCGGCCCTGGCCCTTGTGGACAGTCACCCCGAGTCCCTGTGGCGGGAGCAGTGACTGTCCAGCTCTGAGCACAGCCTGCCTCTCAGCCACATTTCACAAGCCTTGAACACATCTCTGCTTTTGGCCAAATGTTTAGAAATGTTTAGAACTCACTGAGCAGCACCATTTTCGTTTCCTAATCAAATAGATACATTTTCCAACCATAAGGGTGAGCCCGAGAAGGAAAGCTTATGCTGACTTGCAGCGTTGAGCCCAGGAATAACTTCGTTGGCCATTCGATTTTCTCATGGCCTTCTAAGAATTAATTTTCTTTTTTTGATGAAGAGGCATTTCAGCTGACCTTCCTACCCAGTTAACGAGTGACAAGAACATACTCCTGAGCGCCGATGCATGGGGCAACTAAAGCACATTTAGAGGCAGCTGCCCGCCCCACCCCCACCCCCACCCCACCCCCACCCCAGCAGAGACAACTGCTAGGGAACAGCAGTCCTTACTCCTTCACTCACTCATTTCTGCACTCCCCCAACATGCCCTTCAGCATTCCGGCACACACACCTAATCTTGCCGCCTGGAGCTGGATCTTCCCTACCTGGAAGGATGGGCTGCCCTTTGTTTAAAACAGGTAATTCTCGACAGATTTCCCCATCTTCTTGGTCTCGTGCCATCCACCGTTGAACAGGCATATAAAACTGTTTTCCAGAATTCACGTTCCACAATTTTATCTATAACAGCAACAATATTACTTGTAAAAAAAAGTAAGAATATTTTATCAAAGAGTAAAAAGTTTTTGTCCGAGCCTGACAATTAAGAACAGCTTTTTGCTTTTTTGCTGTAAAAGAAGTTATTGAATACTTGACAAGAAAAGTGCTAACTTCTTCTTTTACTGCCATCCCAAGTACAATGGCATTTCTTTTCTCTATTTTGAAACTTTTCTATTTTTTATTTCTCTATGTTGAAATGTTACACATGCCAATTTTCTCCCAAGTTTTCTAAGTATCATCAATATTTTCCTACCTAAAAAGAGATGTTTACAATTCTTAAAATCTATTACTTCCCTATTCCAACATCTCAGTAATGCATTTTTCATTTTAAAGCAATTTTATAAAATATTAGCATGAGCTTAGACCTGAGGATGAATGAGAATCAAGCAATAGTTACTTATTTGGGTGCCTATTATATCCATGTCTGCTCCATTCGTCCCGGAGTTAAAGATGTTAATAAATTCTGGTAGGACCAGATGAATGCCAAAAGTCATTGGAAAACAGAAATGTTTTCCAATTCTAAAATCTAGCCTTTCATGAGTAGGATACTGTTATTCTTTCGAAAGCTTCAGTGGGGTGTTATTTTATCTGTTAAGTTAATCTTACTGTCTTGAAAATGCCTTACATCAGAGACTTTCAACTGTAACGTGTTTAGGAATGCATGTTGTTATCAAAGTAGATTTTCAATCCCTAACCTTACTAACTCTGTAGGTGTTGGTAAGGCCCAGAAATCTTCACTCATAAATTCACATCAAGTGTGCCTCTGGGGCAGTCCCGCTTTTTGAAAGGCTCCCTGAGAACCACACAGAATTACCACTGGTTTGCAAGGCCGCCACTGCTGCCCCCACTATTTGATTTGACTTTTTAATTAAAGTCCAAAAGAGCACTTGAGAAACACAAAATAAATCACCATTTGAAATGGCTTATTTTGTAATCTTCCTTAACTAGAGAATCAAGATTAAGTTCACCAAAGCAATGTGATGATTTTATGGGCTGTGGAAAGGCTGTATTATTACTGCTGTAATAGACGCAGTGTTTTAATTCAAATCCCTTCGAGTCAGAGGCACAAGTTGGCTTCCTTAAAATGTTGAATTTCAGACTTCTAAACTGTATTACAAGAATTCAACAGAAAATCCTCAAACCATTATCAAGCATCTTAATCTAGCCAAATGGCTAAATTACATACGGGTGTGATATACTTAGAATAAAACCTTTCATCAAGAACATCTCTGATCGTCACTAGCACTGAAAGACAGATGAGGAAGACCTCGGAGAAACGAGCTGCCTGGCAGTGAGAGCACCTGCCATGGACGGAAAGACACCAAGAATTTTCAGCCTGGTGTTTTGTCTCTCCTCTGCAATGTCATACAGTCTTTTCAGATCACTTAACAGCTCCCTCAGCACCCCATATTGATCATAAGGATCATATTGCTTATTGGTTACTAGTCAAGTGAGACTGTGGTCATTTTCGTAAACTAGCTTGCTAGGAGGGGAAAGTAGCAGATTTCATCATTGTCATGCACAGTCTCTTACATGCTAACTTGGATTCCGTACTTCAAAAGCTCTACATAGCATCAAAGAGAAAATCATTTCATAAAGAGGCCAAGCAGTAATTTTGAATTTGGAAATCTAACTTCTGCAGTCTGTATTTTCATAAACTGAGTTTCATTTTTTCATTCTGATTCAGGATCTTTTGTGACTTTAATATGAAGAATGTGGCATTTTTAACAACTACATATTTCCTCTACTGAAATAAAAAATATGTTTTTAGGGGATTACTCATCTTCCATGAATTTTTCATTAATTTCCTCATATATTATAAAACTGTAGAACAAGTTTGTGAACAATATGAGGGGTTTGACTAGGTGTTCTTTGCATTTTGAGAACTTGTTTAGTTAAAAATCGTTTATTCTGAAATGACGAAAGATGGAAATACATCACACACAAAAATGGATGACGAGCTGCAGGATTTCCAGTGTTGAAGACGTGCATTTACTGGCAATCATGGTGGTAAGTAAAATTTTTGATTGTGAACAAAATAGAAAATTTAAGCCTCTTATTGCTCCGAAAAGTACTCAGGGGGCATTATCGTGCTTAGCACGAGTAGACTAAATTTGAGAGTTGGCATTCAAGTCTAGCAGATACTTACTTCGCCAATGCAAATGGTCTATCTTAACAACCCTTCTGAAGCAGTTAACAGCCACCTAGTCACCTTTTCATCACTCTTGCAACCATATCAAGAAGCAATGAAAGTTTATCCAGAGTCCCAAATATCTTCTTTTCCTTGCAAAGAGGTAAAAGGATTGTTCGTTGAGGTGCTTCTCTCAATTAATTAGGGATTAAATTATTAATACAGGCATATGATACTGCTGTCTTGAGGAAAACACTGACCAAAAAGGTGCAGGTTTGACTCCATCAACTCGCAATAGGTGTGAAATGCCCCCCTGATTCTTGAACAGAATTTACAGAGGCTCTTGCAAAAGGGGGAGTGTGGATAGGTCTTTACCTCTTTACAGTGCCAGGAAGGGGAGAGGCCAGAGTTGGTATGACCAACACGAATCTTAAAGAGTGTTCCAATGTCTCCAACTGTGATCTATAAAGGGACCAAGAGAACATCTTTCAATGCAGTTTCACAAAGCCCATCTTTTAAAACCTTATATTAGGACATTATATATTAATAAAGTAATCTACCCATCAATGAGATACTAGAATTATAAAAATATATACATTATGACGAAGTTCCAGAATATACAAAGCAAAACTGAACAGAACTGAATGGAGAAATAGTCAACAATAATCATTGGAGACCTCCATATCCCACTTTGAATGATGGATAGAATGACTAAACAGAAGATCGATAAGTAAATAGAGGACTTGAACAACATTATACACCAACTAGATCTGAGACACTTACAGAACATTCCATTCAATAGCATCAGAATAGTTTTCTCAAGTGCACTTAGAACATTCTCCAGAGTAGACTATATGTTATGTCACAAAACATGTTTTGAAAACTGAATAAGACTGAAATTATAGAGGATCTCTGCTAACTACAATGGAATGAAACTAGAAATAAATATAAGAAAGAAAACTGGAAAATCGACAAATATGTGTAAGTTAAACTACATACTCTTAATCAACAAATAAGTCAAAGAAATTGCAAGAGAAATTTTAAAACACCTTGAGATGAATGAAAAATGCATGCAAAAAACATAGTGGATATACCGAAAGCAAAGCTCAAAAGGGAAATTTTAGCTGTAATTCTGTAAAATATGAGTGTACTTAAAAGGAGGAGAGCACTGCAGGTGAATTCCATCAGTCAGATGGCAAGAGAAAACCTCTCTGTGAGAGAACGCTTCTTTGGAGATTCTGATATACTAAAGCTAGAGTCTCTAAGGAGAAGAGTGAGGAGAAGTAGGGGAGAGAATGAAGGAAGAAGAAGGGGGTGGGGTAGGGAGAAAGTGGGAAGAAGAAGGAGGTTCTCAAAGAACCCAGCTTTACCTAGGAACTAGGTAAAGAGAATCTAAGGAACTAGGACAAAGAGGAGTAAGCTAGATGCAGAGCTAGCAGGAGAAAGGAAATAGCAGATTAGAATAGCGATAAAATAGAGAACAGAGAAACAATAGAACCAACGAAACCAAACGGTGGTTCTTTGCAAAGAAAATTGACAAACATTTAGCTAGCCTAAGAAAAAAAGAACAGAAACTCAAATTACTAAAATCGTAAATTAAAATAGGGATATAACTACTAATCTTACAGAAATAAAAAGGATTATAAAAGAATATCAAGAACAATTATATGACAGCAAATTAGACAACCTAGATGAAATGGACAAATGTTTAGAATCATACGAACTATCAAAACAGACTCAAAAAAAAACTGAAAGTCTGAATAGACCTGTAACAAGTAAAGAGACTGAAGCTGTAATCAAAAACTTCCCAAGAAAGAAAAACCTAGTACAGTTGGCTTCACTGGTGAAGCCTACCAAATATTTAAAGAAGAATTAATACCAACTTATCTCAAAATCTTCCAAAAATAGAAGAGGTGGGAGCACTTCTTAATTCATTCTGCAAGGTCAGCATTACCCTGCTACCAAAGCACAAAGACAAGGAAAGAAAACTAGAGACAAAAACCACTTATAAACATAGAGGCAAAAATCTTCAGCAAACAGTACCAAACTGAATACAGACGCGTAACTGAAAGATGACACACCCTGACCAACCTGGGTTTAATCCCAGGAATGAAGAGTGATTCAGCACACAAATGCCAATGTAACAGATCACATAAATAGAATGAAGAGGAGAAAAACAGGCATCTCAATTGATGCAAAAAAACAAAACAAAACAAAACCATTTGACAAAATCCAACACAATTTCATGATAAAAACACTCAACAAACTAGAAATAGAAGGGGACTTCTGGAACGTGATAAAGGGCATCTATGAAAAACCAACAAAGAATATCGTACTTCATGGTGAAATACTGAACATTTCCTCCTAAATCAGGAACAAGACAAGGGTGCCAGGTTTCATGACTTCTAGTCAACACTGTACTAGAAATTGTAGGTATGGTAATTGGGCAAGAAAAAGAAATTTTAAAAATTCAAATTGGAAAGGAATAAATAAAACTATCTCTATCCACAGACTATATGATCTGATCTATAGAAAATCCTAAAGAGTCCACAAAAAACTATTAGAGCTAATAAATAAATTCAGTAAAGTTACAGGATACTCAATCAACATACAAAAATCTGGCGCATTTCTATAATTAGTAATGAGCAATATGAAAAAGAAATTAAGACAATTCTATTTACAATAGCATCAAAAAATTCAGAATGATTATACCATGTGAAGGTATGTTTAATTTAAAAGTGAACGCAAAACAATAAAATAGCAAAACAACAACAAAAACAGCTCAGGCTCTCGACACAGTCACCTCTAAAACCACTTCTTACACATGCAAAATAGCAAGTCTTCACTTTTATTTTTACACCTTAGTGACTGTCAACACAAGAAAGAGCTTCTTTAAACACTGACTCTTACAGAAAGTATGGAAAGGACAGTTCCAACTAAACTATTAGTTTGGCTCCAAATGTACGTGGGCTAAGGACACAGGCTGTGGTAAACCGAACACCAGGATCACCCACAGGTGGGTGTCCTGTGAAGAGTCAGGATACTTCAGGACGCTGCCTTCTGGTTATGATCCTGTTCTCCGTCGCTACCCAGCTGAGAACAGCCCTCCAGCCGGCCAGCCATCTGTTGAGCAGACAGCACTAAGCCGCGCAGCCCCAGGCGCCGGCCTCATTTCAGGCCTGCCTTCCACTGCCGACTTTCTCTCTCTAGCTTTCCAGCCTGGCCCCGGGCTCGCTGCCTCATCTTTACTGCCTCTGTTTCTCCCCAGACCTTGATCCCAAGGTGTCTGGCCATGATCTAGTAACTTGACAACATCTTCGCCCACCTTTATTTGATCACTTATTTTTCCCATTTTTGACCGTGATTTTGAGGCTTATCTGTAAGGGCCCCAGGCAGAAAGGTATGGCCCTTGTCCCTGACAGCCACACGTCTAGAAACAACAGGTGCTGGTCACCCACCATTTCTCTCCAGCTGTTGTCTCTTACTGTGTGCAGTCTGACTTGTGTTTAATCCGCTTGAGCAAAAACTGCCATGAATTACCTTCTACAAGATCTTCTACAAGACACGTGTTGCTACCTCAGGAAGCATCCCATTCAACAGACTGCACCCATTCCAGAGCACCCACTAGCTGTATCACTTACATCATCAGGCTTTACTCAGTTTTAATACTCACGGTAAACACGTCTTCGTGGCCGTCCTGAAATCGAGTTCCATGTGCTCCACAAAGGTATATGGGTGCTGAACTCCTGTGCCGTCCATATAGTATAATATAAATCTGTGAGCTGGTCCCTGCATCTGGCAAGTCACTGGTGACGATGGAAACCTTCCAGTTGCCACCTATAGAAGCACAGATAGCACGGAGCATTATAGCCACTGACGACAATGGAAGACGGAAGAGCGAGGAGAATTCCAGGAGGACAAGCTTGCTCCCCCCATCTCCCCCGGGAACGCGCTGCAGCACAGGGTTTAGACTTGGTCTTTAAAACAATAAAACTATTATGTCCTACAACGGAGCTGTGAGGGGATTTCCTAGAAGATCTTTACACTACCATTATCCTGTCATAGTTGGTCATGCCTAGACTCCAAGAGAGTCACTATGTAACTTCTCTCAAGTTCCAGCATTTGGACAAAACGTCTCAAATATTCTAGCTCTGACATATAATATGTGCATTCACAATTAAACCTTTTAAGATCTTTTGAGTTTAGATGTTTATTTTCCAAAATTAAAAATTATATAATAATTTATATAAACATAAAGATTAGAATCAGACAAGTTACGAGAAATTTCAGAAGTCATCTGGTACAATTTTTCACTTTTTAAGTATTCCTAATTAGTAGATTTTAAAATAATGTTTTTTCCACAAAAATAGATGTGTGGAACTGAGTTCCACAAATGTTAATTAAGTAAATTCCGTATCACCCAGCAACAAGTGAAAATAGTGCTGGAAAATGTATGCTTCCTGGTGAATACAACGGAGATGAACGAAACATCGTAACACACTGATGGGGGATGATATCGCGTCCTAGGATTTCAATTTAATTTTGCCAGGTTTCTTTGCAGTAAATATCAAGAGTTGACCAATAAGAAAGTAAAGTAATACGAAATTAGGGGAACACACTCAAGATTATACCAAAGAAGAAAGCGGGAGAGGCAGCAGAACCCAGAGCCGCAGGCGTAAGTGACACTCCACTCTGCAGACTGTGCCGTCCTCTCTCCCATTCTTGAACTGAGGTGTACTTCCCATCTTGATCATTCAGATCATAATCAGATTCTAGATTTAAATTTTACTTACATGGTACAATAAATATATGCTAAATGAATGTCCATTTTTTTAATCTACTTTAAAACGGAATTCTACACAGTAAAAAGCCATATTAGGCTACCAAATCATTTTGGTAGACAATCAGTAAATAAAAACATCATCTTAAAAAACTGAAAGAGATGGATAAGCTATCTTTGACGACGGCAGAAGTGGCTAACTTGCAATTATGAACTACAGAGCTGGGAAAGCCCCAGCTGCTTTCTGTAGACTAGCATGTTTGTTTGAATAAAGTGAAATAAAGCTCTTCAGCTTTTGCTTTCTTAGAAATGCAGCAAAGAGTGCAGGGGAGAATCAATACTTGCTAAATGTACAAGGACCAAATCAATAGGGAAAGAAATTGCATTTTCCAACAACTAACATGGAAAAGGATGAGAAGTATAGGAATAGAAATAAAGACGAGAATAATGAAATATGACATCTGTTTACCGTAGGTTTTGGCACTTCTTTAGGTCATTAAAACTTAACCTAGGAAGGGAGTGTTGTAAAAACTGGAGAAGAGTCTAAAGATCATGAAGCAAGACTCATCTTTTACTTCATAACTTCAATCAGTCAATAGCCAACAAGTCACTGAGTCACTACTTGGTGTCCCAGGTCGTGGAAGGAGTACACGGAAGGCACAAAATGATGTCTTTGTCCTCCACTCGCCTGTTCTCCACGAGGCGGTAAAGCCAACAGACCAAGAGGGAAGAAAAATCAGAACAGTCTTAATGTAAAATCTTGGTAAAGTGAGTCCAGGTCACAGAAAAGTTAACAAAATAAAAAAATTTTTAAGTTAATTTTATAAAAAGAACTGACCAAAAAAACCCAACAGAAATTAAATAAAGAAGGCACAAAACCTTGTGCCATAATCTTTGTAAAGCAGAAGCCAAGAGAAGAGTGAGACAGAGACGTCAGGGGTTTACAGGGCACCCCCCGCCCAGCCTGCTCGGCACCGCGTAGGAGACAGAAGATGGGTACTTACGATTCTAAACCCTTCCTAATATCCATACCCTACTGGGCCTAATTTGAAAGGGTGGGCTGAAGGGGTGAGTACCTGGACTGGAGGAGAACAGGACGCAGGGAGTGAACCAACAGCTTGATGAAATACTCAAATTATCAAAACATACACAAAACAACTAGAAATTTTGAATAGCCCTTTATCTTCCAAGAAATAATAATTAATTTATAGTTAAATCTTTTTCACAAATAACTACAGGCCCAGATGGTGAATCTTCTTCCAAACCTTTAAGAAACAAAGGATGCCAATCCGACACAAACCCTTTGGAATACTTCCCAGCCCATCGTGTGAGACGAGCATCACTCTGATACCAAATTCAGACGAAGGCATAACAAGAAAACTACAGAGCAAGATGAACATATGTGGAAATCTTCTCAACAAAACACGAGGAAATCGAGTCAACCGCAACCTTTGGGTTTATCCCAGGAGTGCACGGCTTTTCAACACTTAGAGATCAATGCAAGTCACCACATTAGCAGAACAGAGGACCTGTGTCTGATCGCTTCAGTAGGTATCCGGAAAAAAAAAAAACTTGAAAAAATTAAATACCCATTCATGGTAGAAACTCATTACTGGAAAGGATGAAAATGAGGAACAGTCTTACCAGAAAGCGGAGTAAAGGCAGTTCTCGTTACAGCTGGCAGAGAACTCGGCGGAGTTGTGCTCTGTTACTCAGCGGTGGAAACAGAACTTACAAGCGATGAACTTAGACGTCTACCGGAGGAGCTTTCCAGTCGAAGTGTGGCAGGTGTGCCCTGCTCTCTCCTTGCTGCTTATGGTGAAATTTAAGAGGAAAGAGAAACAGAGGAAGGAACTGCTAAGTAAAAAGGAACCAGCCCTCGCTGATTCGGAAAATTCTCGATCTGTCCGCATATCTTGTTCTGGAAGCAGAGCCAAGGACAAGAAAACTATTTGCTCAAGAGATTAGGCATGTGGTTTAAGGATCCAGGCAGAAGCCGGGAGTGAAGATGGAGTTACCCAGGAAGGACGTGTGGGGACGTTTGTGTCTAGTGACGTGGGCCCCACAGCATCCACAGAAGACCAACAAGGTTCTCAAAAATTTTTATTCTAGCAGATGGAAAGGACAAAGATGGGACGAAATGAAAGAAGCATGACTCTCTGGGCCAAGACGGTGGTGCCGCTGCCCTGGTGGGCTGAGAGGGCAGGGCTGCCGCCCCGGGGAGCCGTGAGGAGCGGGGTGTTGCCCCAGCAGGGCCCAGAGAGCAAAGCAACAAAACCACAGAGAATTACTCTCAGGCCCTTAAATCTGATGGAATTTGCCAACCTGGGTTTCAGACTTGCTTGGGACATGTGACCCCCTTTCCCTTCTGACTTCTCCCTCCTGGAATGAGAGTGTCTAGTCCACGCACGTTCCACCGTTGTATCTGGGAGGCAGACAACTTGTCTTCTAGTTCCACGGGTCTGTGGGTGCTGAGGAATTTGGGCCCAGGATGGATTGTACCCAGTGTCTCACCCATACCTGATTTAGGTGATATCTTCAAAGACGGGAGTCCAAATTTTTTGAGAGGATTATATTTAAGTGATATTTTGGGCTTAAAGTTGATGCTGGAATGATCCAGACTTTGGGGCATGCTGGGATGTGGTAAGCGTACTTCACATAGGAGAAGGGCATGAATTTTCCAGGGCCAAAAGGAGAACTCTTGTGGGTTAAGCTGTGTCCCCAAAAAGATGTTCAACTCCTTATTCCTGCTCCCTGTGAATGTGACCTTATTTGGAAATAGCATCATTGCAGACATAACTAGTTAAGGTGAAGTCACACTTGACTAGGGCGGGATTAGTCAATGATGACTAGGTCTTTTAAAAAGACAAAACACACAGAGGCGGAAGGAGGGGGAATTCCAGGCAGAGACTGGAAATACCCAGCAGCAAGGCAAAGAACTCAGACTTCTAGCATTTAGAACTATGAGAGAATAAATTCTTATTTTTTTCAAGCCACCCTGATGATGTTAATTTGTTACAGCGGTCCTTGGACAGTAATTCAACAAGTGACTATATAAGCAAATTGTGTTACATAAATTAATACAACTCAGCACTTGATAAACGACTGACTACTGGTACACAGGAAAATCTGGATGAATATCAAGCTTTATGCTGATCAAAATCCTAGTCACAAAAGAGCATATGCTTTGTGACCCCACACAAGGAGCTCCAGGAAAGGTGGATTTATTTGTAGTCACATAAAACAAGTAAGTTCTTTCCTAGGGGCAGGGATGGTGAAAGTCTCTGCAAAAACGTGTGAAGAAACTCTCTGGGATGACAGAATTCTTCTGTCTTGACTGAAGTGGTGGTTACACAGGTGAACACAACTGTCAACAGCATAGACCTAAAATATGTGCATTTATTTCTGTAAATTATACCTCAATACAATTGATTGTTTAAAACATTAAATAAAAAAAAAAAACTTGTAAAAGCCTTAACTAAAATGGTCAAGTTGAGGGGGGAACTGCCATACAAATGAAAAAGGACTAATTTCTTTCATTTGCAAACAGCTCACACAATTAATAAAACAAAACTAAACATGGACTCCACAATAGAAAAGTGGGCAAAACATGAATCAGCAATTCATTAAAACACACGCAAGCAGCAAAGAAACAGAAAGCATGCCAACTACATGCAGGCAAATCAAACCAGACCACCGCTCACGTGCCAGGTGGGCAAAGCCTCTCATTTCAGAATACCGGGCGCCGTGAGAGGCGCCTTCTCACCCCGTCTGGCATCAGCATAGTCTCCTGTACCCTTTCTGAAGGGCAATTTGGCAAATCTATGAAAACTGACAATGCACATACCGTTTGACCTAACAGGCTCACTGCACAAATACACCCACAAAGAGGCCGAACTCTGTGCACTGGGGACGTTCTTCCAAAGACTCCTTGGAAGGGTGACTATTTGGACACAGCCGTGTGTCTTGTACTACACATGAGTCACCGAAATAATGAAACAGCCACATTGAAATGCTACACAACATAACACTTTTGAAAGAAAGACTAAAGCAAAAT